ATCGGTACTTGTAACGGGATTGGGAGCACTGTGACCATACATACAACGCAAGTAAGCTGCGGTCGACTACATTCATCTGAATGCACTTCAAAAAATTATATCCAGTGAATTTAAGGTTGGGAAGGATCATATCCTTTGGAAAGGAGAAACGTCTCCACTATTCCTGCGACCACCCCAACACTCGATAGTTCATGTCCTCATTTAGAAATCCGTGCATGGCTTGTGCACAGGGATTAGCTGCGTGGTGGGACAGTCCACGTGAGAATAGTGATACCCCGCTGTGATACACAATCAGGAGAGGGATACATTTGTGCGACGCATCTAAATGTGGAGTGCTGCCACCGCTCCCCTGGCCAGACTATTATAGTCATCAACGTAGTCGTGTTCTGTCTTGTGTGCACATGGCCCAGGGCAGGGGAAACAGACTCAGTGCACAAGCTCTCCGTCACGTTGAACGGGTTTGAAGGAGTTTCAGCAGTACAATCACGTACCTGGCACCACAGAACGGGTATCAATAATACCAAGAGTACATACATGTACATGTAAGATCCCCATAATACTCTTGATCATACCACTAGATCCTGGGAGCACAGCGTTGGACGTCTATAGTTTGTTTTGTTTTTGATTTATTTTAGTTCGCTGCCTCAACAGTACAATGTGCAACTTCAAAGAGGGTCGAACAGGAAACAAAATAACTGAGGGTCATCAGAAAGGGAGTGAGGAAGAAGAAGAAGAAAAAAGGCGGAGCATTTCGTCCAAGCCCACTCACTGCAAGAAACGTGGCTTATGATAAACTAGCTGATAAACTAGCTGGCAAGTTATGAACGCAGGTAACTGTTACAGTCATCGGGAAACTCAAACATTGAATAGATTATAGCATAAAAACATTGTTGAACAGAAGTGGCCAGAAAACAGACAATTCGTTGGAATCGTTTAGGACATGCGAAAGGTGAGCGGCAAAATCTGAAGCATCCTTGCATGTTTGAGAACTAATTACATGACGATTGTATTGTTAGATAGGTATGCATACAATGTACATTATAATATGACATGCACATGTATCAAACAGTATATCCTTGTATCTTGGAGTGATACAATTTGATTGTACATGTACATGTACATGTATATTATTATGTGCTTATTATACATGTACATGAATGTATTTTTGCATCCATGAACGAGTATCAACGGTACATGTACATGTACATGACTGTATACAATGTGTCCAACACCTCCTCTGCCTCCTTTTCCCCCGTCTTGCGCTCCCACCAGCTCCTCTCTTGTATTGATCCCCCTCTCAGTCCCCAGTGAACTTCTCACGCTTTCAAACCTTTATTCTCACGATCGCTAAAATAATACACAGTACTGGTTGAGGACGACGACAATCAGACTCATCCTCTGCGTCCTGGGTTTCAGCACCACGTAACTCTGCGTCCTGGGTTTCAGCACCACGTAACTCGTTGTACATGACATTGGAAAATACATGTACTTATGCAATGTTCATTGTGTTTATTCTGCCTGTAAAAGTGGCTGTTACACAATGTCATGTACATGTACTATCAACATGATTGTAGTGTACATCGCGGGCCAATGCTGATGTCTGATGATCATGCACAAGGATGTACAATGTGCATGTAGGAGCTGAGTCTCCAGGATATTGGCTATCAGTACATTGTACTGCTTTGGGTCAGAGAAAATACCTCAGGCTGAGCCACTCAGATACATGTACATGTACATGTAAATGTGAAGAGTTTACTTCTTGTGCTGGTACATTTTGTATTTCCTTTCAAGGTTTTAAATCAGTGATTCATGACTGAAGTTCACACACCCAAGCGAATTATTATTTAATTATTGACAGGAATACCCATACCGGTACACCAGACTGAGTGTCACCCTGCTCACACCCACACATTCTACTTGTAGTATAATACAGTCATGTACTTAGATTAGAAGTAGGGACACAGTATGGAGTAGCTATGCTAGTGTACTAGTACTATAGTACTAGTAGTAGAGCATTTTGAGCGTTGACACACAGAATCCAAAGAGGTTGTGCTGACGTTGTCTGGGTGTGTTTGTTCATAGCGTCCCTAGTACTCATGCCACTAAGCATCTAATGACCATCCTGGCAGCTAATGTAACTCCATCGTATCATTACTAGCGCTGCAGGGAGTTAGTCTGGAGATTGACTGTCCTGAATAGGATAATTTGCGCCATTCCAAACGGCAATATCTATAATCTTTGCTTCCGCTGGGCATTCAATGCATCACGCGGCTCTTTGTTCCTGTGAATCGATAGCGTTTGGTTGGGCCTTCACGTCATGGTTTGTCTTGACTTTAGACTTGGTGTTGAATTCTTGCTCTGGGCTTCAACACTCGAGTGACACAATGACTTGTGTATCTGCACTATTAGTATCAGCGGTGTATGTACTCTTGGTATCAGTTGGCGGTGATTCTACGTGTGTCTGCCTGCATCCACCATTTATCATTAAATTTTTATCGCAAACTGTCAACATGACTGTTTCAAACTAGGAATCCACTGTAGTGCTAGAGTAGTCGGCTACATGTACTGTTAAACCACTTCACCGCTTCAAACCGTAACTGACAGAGCAATCACTGAATACTTTAGCCCAATGACTATGTTGGTGCCCAGTCATAATGGCAAAGTGTTGTTGCTTGCTGGCTATTTCCCTGGAGTTTAAATTCAGGAGATGTGCCACCTACATGTACTTTACAAAGTAGATGAATACGTTAATTACTCGACAGCGCAGTCATCTTGCAGCTGCGACAATGGCTCTCCGTGACAGCGCTAATGTCAACCCTTGGAGTTGGAAGCCGTCCAAACCAGAACTGCACTGAGACAGCATTCTTGAATAATGATTGATGGCAGTGACCTCACTTGGACTCTAAAGCACGTGAAAAAGACCAGTTTATCAGTCACGCGGAAATACGACTACATTTTGTACATTTCTGCTTTCCTTGATTCTCATTCCCATGACTCATGAGATATAGACCAACATTTCTCCGGACAGTCCGCCTCTGGCACAGATATACATTGTAGTTAATTATACAGTTGTTCCATCGATTTACGAGTAGTACAGTCAATACGAGCCCCCTTGTCGGGCATTGGTTGTGAGACTTACCACCTCACCCTCGCCGTTAGGCGCTGCATCTGCCACCCTGGTAGCACAGGCATGGTGGTGGCCTGGCACATGCGAAACTTCCTAAGCTGGTTGTGTTTCTCAACGCAATTGTATAGCCGGTGGTAACGCGGACGTGCAAACTTTACTTTTTTTTACAGTCAATACGAATACGAATCATAATCTGCTATCTACCGGTACGAATCAATGACTGTGCGTGGCAAGACTGAGTGGTAACTGAGCAGTAGTGTACAGGTACATGATTGTACATGTACATGTAGCCCTCGTCCTACAGTGCTGGCAACTGAAATCCGACCCCTTTGCCGGCGCGCCGCGCCGGCAAAGTGGTCGGATTTCAGTTGCCAGCACTGTACATTGTATACTAGTTGACCTTACCTTTAATTATTTATGCAAAATAGTGGACTCCTTGGGAGAGGAGGTCGAGTGCACATGTACATGTATGTTGGGAGTGTGTGGTAGGTGTGGTACTCAGTCTTTGTGCAATCAATCCAGAGAAGTTAGTTAGTTGCTGTGTATTGCATATATGGGCAAGCAGGCACTATTAGCGTAGTTTCGCACCTCTCCCAGGACTGCAGGAGCAGCACTTTCCAGACCACAAACTGACACAACTACTCCAGAGTGCGAGTCGAGTGTTGTCATCTGCTGTCCCGATGTTCAAGGGTGTATTCTCGCACTGCTAGCCATTCAAACAACCGTTCAACAACAGTGGAGCTGAGCTATCAACAACAGTGGAGCTGAGCTGATATCAACAACAGACCTGTAGTACTAATACTATCAACAACAGTACTGTAAGTGTAATGTATACAGCAGTACAACGGTGTACCTGTGATACATACATGTACATGATTGTGTGCCTCTACTCTAGAAGCCTGAAAAAACCCTTACCCCCTTTATCGAGCTTGAAAACCATACAAAGATATCCAAGAACAACAGTTACTCTTTTGTAACGCCCAATACACACACTGCCACGGACCGTCACCATACATGCACGTGACCATACCAGTACAACTAATGAGAAACAATATCTAGAAATACCAGTCCATCTCCATGCACGGAGTCTGTGAACGATGGTTCATAGATGTAGATCTGTGCAATGGTACATAGATCTGTGCAATGGTGAACATTTCATACAGTCTAAAGTACAGTACATAGCCATAAAACAATGAATAAGAAAGACTCTACAACATTATGAATGAAAGAGCTATACATAATATGGGTAGCAACACATGCATTACAATGTTTTATGCTGTTCTACATCATGTACATGAGATCCCTTTGCCTTGGCTTTGTCCGCCCTTGCGGCCTTGGCGCATGGCCTTGGCTTACTATGGTCCAGTGCCCGTAAAGGGAAGTGGCCTTGTGAAACGCACACATCATAATCACTCTAGCCACGCTTCGCGCCCCAGTGCGGTTGTTTTCCGCCGCCCACTTTGGCGTACTTATCGCGCCCGAAAGGCAGCACATAATAGATCTAGCGCTAGCGCGCTAGGGAGGCGTTTGGGGCGTCGCCCTACCTCGCAGCCAGTGATAAGCCAGGCCGTGTATGCAGGTGAGGATTGGAATGCAATGAATCAACCCTCTCACTCTCAGCCTCTGTGCATGCAGCGCGTGCTGAATACGCTGTTGTGTTTTCTGCTCAAGAAATGTCTGCAGCTCGCCCAGCACAAAATGCACTCAGATACATGTAATGTACATAGTCATACAATCATAATAATACCACTACATGTATTATTTCTATTCCAGTCGTAAACTGTAAACACAACGGTACATGTAGTGCCAGTGGTATGGAATGTGTGTAACCTTGCTGTAGTGTTGGCTTGCATTGCTGCATATTATGCAGTGAACGGTGATGTCCAGTGCACTCGGCCAGAGCTGACGTTTGCCGACGCCCCGCTCAAGACCTGTCCAAAGACAGGAACGCAGAACCGGTGACCTAGGAATAGCACTAGTGCGTTTTACCCTGTACTTTATTATACCCTGGCACATCCTAGCTGCAGTCCTTCACCATTTTACGCTGCCACTAGTGTGGACCGACTTGAACGTTTGCAATAGTAAAGATACGATTTAAGTCGGTAGTCTGTGCCGTCCTCATTTATTGCGCTGACTGCTGCGCGTTCAAGGGTGCTGCCAGGCCAGGCGCAGTGAAATGTCGGAGAAAGTTATGATAATATTTTCACGCCGATCACTTGCAAGTAGCAGCGAGTTGGCCGATGAGTGATTGCGAGAATTCTGTCGCCTACTATCATAGGTTCAGAGTGAGAAACCGCTTGCTGTAATTCGCTGCTCTTACTTAGTCTTAGCCTGTAGGTCATCACAGACATCAGTCCTGACACTGTATAGACCGAGGTGCTCTAGTGCCGCTGGTACCAGTATTCAGTAAGGCTGTGCCCGTGCCCATCTATCTGTAATACTCTTTGCTACTGACTGTAGTTCTTGAAGTAGCTTGCTCAGCACTGCCTATGCCGCGGCTCCGTTCCGAATACGTGCTGCTGGAACCAGGTCGGCCTGCAGATTGATACGTGTCGCTACTGAGAGGATAATTAGTAAGGGCGCAGCAGTGGCGTGTTATTACTTCCACGGACGACGTACATGTAGATGTGTACGGGCGCTGGATTGGCAGGAGTGGTGTGAACCATTCGAGCATAGGATTGGAGGAGGTTAAATCCCAGTTGTGCTTTGTCCAGCCCTAGCATTGGCAAGGTGTTACGGCCACTAACGGCGGTCTGCCAGGAAGCAATTGTCAACAAGCACTTTGTTTCTCCGTCAAACTCAGCAGCGGCTCGAACAGGAAGGAAGTCTACGCGTATAGTGTTAGCATCGTTGTCTTTCTCTACTCTCGCAGGCCTGTGACTCAGAGGCAGAGCCTGTTCGTACTGACGACGTGTAAGTTAGGAGTCTAAACTGCTCGTACGCACCCACTTCACCTGTACTAGGTAATACCTTTCCTGTCTCTGCTGAGCTAGGGAGAAACTCAGGGACTTGGAGAGAGTTGTGACGGTGGTAATACTTGGTAGTGTGCAGACACCATTAGTACAACGGTACGCGGTGTTCGGCGGTTCATTCGGAGCACGTGTTGTCTTCTGCATGTATGTGGATCACGCGAAGGGCGCTCCCCAATCTCTACTAGCAGTGTGTCACGGAGTGTCAGTTGACAAGATACCGTAACTACAAGTCACTACTCCACGCTCACTGATCGGTGGTTTTCTGCTGCTGGCAGGCCTCTACAGACCTCCCTGTTTCTGACAACGCTTTCCCTGGCCCCACGACTAACGTCCCCTGAGTGAGTGGCAGTGGCAGAAAGACGCGGGTCTGTCAACGCAGCCTAGCAGCCTTCTGTCGACGGTGGTCAAGTAACTAAACAGTTGAAAGAAAAATACAGACAGGAGATATTCTCGCCATCAGTGGCACATCACTTCCTCCGATGCTGCTCACCGAATAGAGGCTCCACTGATTTGCATCTATCTGTAGCAGATCTGGAAAGATTGTATGCAATGAGTAAGGTGTTATGCCGCAGCGACTCCCTGGATTCGGGACAGGCTAGTATAGGATGTGCAGAAGACGGGGACTACCTCAACGACGATCTTATGGAAATGGAAACTTTCTCCGACTGTGATCAGTTGCTCTCATCGTCGGATAGCGATGAGATTCGCAACAACTTCAAATCAGAAGAGTATGATGGTGGTGAGCAAACACCTATGTCAGGCGTCAGCGTATCGCGGAGATCATCATCTCGACGCGTTACCTTCGACCCGAATGTGCTCATGAAGCAGGCAATCCTGGAAGGGGATTTCTGCACTCTACGTACTCTGCTCTACCAGGATGCAATGGAACACGGACATCAATTTCAACTAGGAGGTGTGAGTGCTAATGCTACTACTACTAGTGGTGGTCGTGGTGGTGTTGGTCAGCAAGTGTCATTGGCAGCCGCCGCAGCAGCTGCAGATGATGACGCTCGGACAGTGTGTAGATTTCAGACATTGCTTTCTTGTGCAAGTGTGGATGCGTCCAGTGACCCAGTGCCAGTGACGGCGGATTGTGATAATCATCGTCGAGAAGCTGAGCAGTGCAATAGGGATGTAGCATCATTTCCTCCTATGATTCCTACAATCTCGTGTTCAGTGGAGGAGATGTGCAATGGCAATGCAAACAGTGCGGCATCTAGCTCTACCACTATTGCCAGCAATTTACGTGTAGAGGTGCGACAGAACAAGTCGCCTTCATGCAACAGAGAGAGTTCAATATCGTCCTCAAGCAGCGCCAGCAGCAGCAGTAGCAGCGTCTCAGCAGATTGTGACATGTCCGGTGTACCCGATTCGCCTCTCTGCCGCTCTCCAAGGCACAGCGGTGTACCTAGAGTGAACGTAAATGCCACGGACAATGACGGTCTGACTCTGCTGCATTTGTGCTGCTTTGCCGGTGCTGCAGACTGTGTTCGACTGCTGGTTGAGCGGGGTGCGGAAGTGGATGCGGCCGATGAGGCCGGCTGGACGCCATTGCATGTGGCAGCCTACGAGGGTCTAACTGATGTGGTACAGACCCTTGTCAGTGCTGGTGCGACCATTGAGGCGCGAGACGAAGAAGGGCTGCGCCCCGAAGACGTCGCCTGCAGTGATCGCATTCGACAAGTGTTTGAGGAGTTGAAGGCAGGGGGCAAGAGCAACTGAGAGAGGTCATGTACCCCTGCACTTCTACTGGTCGTGGATATTCTGCAAGGCACACAAGTAGCAAACCACTGCAATGCAGTATGTGCTTGCAAGGAGGAGATGAGCACCGCAAAACCTCTACTGGTCAGCCATTGAGAACTCTGAGGCCGTGTGTAGTGGAGAATGGGGTGCGGGCGATGCCAATGCAAGCAGGCGTATATTCACAAGTAGCGGCGATTTAGTGGTGTACTTATGGTAAGTGACTGAATACAAGGCATGTGGGTCGACAACTGTTCTACCCTATGCCCGTCGTATGGAGTATTCTGTGCTGGTATTGGCAGTGTACTATCACTGTGCAGAATTCTCTATCTCACCTGAAACCCAGGGTCTAAATCTCCATCATTGCCGCATCACTGCATCACTGCATTACTAGCAACGATCCAATAACACAGCATAACTACCCCACTCGCAGCCGCCCCTCAAGCCTAGCCCATACAGCCTGCCTGCCAAAACAGCCGTGGAAATGAAGAGGCTCTCTTTGACTGCTTCCTTTGGGCGTGCCCACCCAACAGGCAGTAAGGTCATTGTTTCTTGCATCTGAGTGCTCAACCGGTCGCTTCTGGCTGTGAAAGGATTGTCCCTTCTGGCTGTGAAAGGATTGTCCCTTCTGGGCCTAGTTGATGCCCGATCAGTTGCGACGGCATTAGCTATAATTTCTTCAGAGTGGGCCCATATTCTATGTTCAGAGTGGCCCCCTAGCCCGGCATGCAGTGTCACCCAGTTAGCACCCTGCAACGAACCGGCCTCTGACTCTGCACACTGACCCAGTATACCCCCAGACAGCAGAAACATGACTAGTCTAGAGAGCTATAACCTATATTTCACCTGGGACTGGACAGCAAATCGTCATGCTCTGCTTTTTTGTATGACTGTGCCCCACCTCCGCACTGTACGCAGGGCGGATTGCCCACTATTCCATAATTTTCTTTTAAGGCTGTGACAGATAGCACGCTGAGTTCATCAAAGCACCCAACACTGGTCACATTCTATTAATTGAGGCCGTTGAAATCCGACTCCCCTGCTTCCCCTTGATGGCCAATAATACCATAGATAAAACCATAACAGTCCCTTACTCTTCAGACTCTAGCTGCTTGGCCATTAAGCAATCCATTGTAGCTGCTGGTTCAGCTGCTCTGTGTTTCTGGCCTGCAAAGCCAAGTATCATCCGTCCCCTTGTGTACTGGCCTATGCTGGAGGTGTGGTGTTGCGGCTATTACTTCCTGGACGCTAATCCATAGCAATTCAGTTGATATCTAACGTGCAGGATTTCAATTCGTATAAGTAAGTAACTGATAGCACACCATTTCAACTTGATCAGAACTCTAACTAACACTAAGTCTTCGTAACTCCATTCTGTGTTAGCTTACAGAATGATAAGATTGACATCTACCTGTAGATCGTAATCTGATTACAAAACCTAACCACCCATCCTATATTTCCTTCATTTTCGTAGCAGAAACACTGTTTACATCCAGTTAACAATGGCCTTGGCTCGAATATTCCAACCACTATTAAACTACTGTTGAATCTATTGCAAGGTGTTTCCAGCTAACGTGCTTACGATATGCTCATACTTGATTTAGCTCCAACGCTCTAACGCTGTTCCGTTGAGTATAACTTGACATCTACACGTTCAGTGGGTAAAACACGTACCGGTACTACGAATACGAATTTTCAGTTACAGGTGCGTTGTGAGAAGCAGTGTCACATAGTCGACATAAACTTGTAAGATTTTATATTCAACTTCTTCGCCCAACCGCATACCCGTGCACTCTAAGACGACCACCACAATCATTCACTATCTTGAGTAAAGGAGCCTATTTTCTTTTATATCACCCGAATATTTAGCAACATGACTGTACGGGAACTGGAAGTATGGGGTAATAGGGACGGTGGACAAGGAACACGTCAATAGGCTCTACTATAGATATCTGTAGTTGGGCATGTCTTCACGAGTGTGTCCATCCACTCCACCACCCCCTTTTCACTGCTTGCCTAACCAAGTCAGAATCGAAATTCCATTCTGAACGCTCGAATCAACTCTACCTTTTCTGGCTTCTTGGAGTTCTTCACAGAGTGCGTAGCACTTCAGACTCCCTGTTGCGATGAACTGCATGAAGTGCAAAGATAATTACATTGATTATGACCATGTCATACATCTTGCCACTTCCACTGAGCTATCAATCGTATCATGGTTCCTGGGCTCCGGGCGCTGCCGAAATAGGATCAGCGTGCGTTTCCCCTTGTGCTTTGCATGCCATGAAGACAAGTGCAGGATTTCCCATCTTGTTCATCCTCTGTTTCCCGTCTCTTGTCCATTAGCTGGCACTAAGAACAAACATTGCAATAACACAATGTATCTCTAGAGGTCTCTTCGTAGGTGGTCCTTAAGCTGTATGAATATGTACATGTATGTATGTTTATGAGTGTGTGTGTGTGCGACATGCTGGCTACTCCGGAAAACAAGTGCTAGTCTACAGCCATACAGGTCGAGTGGTTGCCACTTCGGGCCGGCTCATCGTATACATGCGCATACATGTACATGTATAATGCATTACTCCGCAAAGTGAAGGAGGGCACAGTATCTTCCATCAGGTCCTGCAATGCGTGTCCTACTACATTGGACATTAACACAGCAGACCACCTTCTGACCTTGGTCACAGTGCATGGGGATAGTTCGGAGAGGAATTCTCAGTCGAGTAGCACATCGACTGGGAGTTTTCACTGGAAACCTGATACAACATGCAGTGTCGTTAGAAAAATGATATTCGCGACATTTTGTCAGTGTGGGCAAGGCGCATGGTTGACTGAAATTAGTTTCTCCTGCACTGTACTGCACTACTCCGTACTCGTATCGGTGGGCTTTTCAAGTGCATGTCGTCGCGATGATCTGGAACAGGGCGTTGTAAGTGAGGAGTGTGTCCAAGCCTCAATCAGTACCACACCTCAGAAGTGCTGCTGTTCCCAATGTTGACCTGGTAGTGGTGTCTTCTCTCCACCATTTAGTCCATTATCTACAACAAGGCTACAAGTAAGGACTTTGTGACGCTTTCCAGCGTGAAACCGCACCTTGTGCAAAGACAAGGATCATACTGGATAACTTGCAATCACGACCGTGGTCGGTATGGAGTGTGCGAGAGGGATGCCGGTGTCATCACGCTGAAGCTATGACTACAAGTAGTCTTGTAGACGTACACTACCAGTACTACAGTGCCATGCCGGTGGTCTTGGAAGGGGCTCTAACTCAACCTTTACGTTGGACTACAGTGGTCTCGAAAGGTTCTAACTAATTATTGAGGTCTATCAGTATCACATGGGAGGCAGCAGCACTATGCTTCATCATTATGACGCTACGTGTTGTAAAACGTATTACATGTACGTGTTCGTGTTCGTGAACTAATTTACTTGCTCTTTAGCCATCTGGAGACTATTCTGTATGGCTACCAACCACATCATTTACGTGGACATGTAGTGCTGTGATGTAGTGCCGTGATGTACTAGTGCTGCGATGGTGAGCTTTTAGTCTACCATTACAGTACAGTGGAGGACCTCTTCTTGTGCTAGATCATCTGCAGCCTTTCACGGGCGGCATCAAGATTCAAGACACACACTCACACACACCACTTGATTGACCGGAAAGAAAACTCACTACCAGCACCTGGGATTCGCCTTGTGTGAACTAGGTACTGGACGTTGCCTCTGGGAGGAACATCGGCATGGCACTACGTTTGACATTCCCTGTTCTACAGTCGGGCAGACTGAATGACCACGGTCGGGTCATGGGGAATGACCACGGTCGGGTCATGGGTGAGTTCTATCATAATTATACTTGTACGTGTACGTGTTGTGTGGGGTATTCGCAAAGTATACCAACATGTACATAGTCATTGTACATGAACATGTACATTGCACTGTCTGTAGCACATGTTTTGACTTGGACTACAAGTAGACCTAAAGACTTGGATATTCCGTTGGATTGATTAATATTGCTTAATAATAACCATGGAAACCAAAAAGCGCTCAAAACCACACCTCCATCACCACAGGAAACTGGTAAAAAAAATAAAGTTATAATAATTATTATCTATCGTTGAGAACTGATTCGAAGATCTTCCCACCCAGCACAAGGCCTGAAGACCCATGTCGGATTAACAGTACATGTACGCCACCGTTGGTGGTAATTGTGCTACTTCACCATCCCATTCTGACCTATTTCCAAGTGCTAACCGTTAGTGGTCAATACCTACATGTAGGTCAGTGGCTAGGTGGCACAGGAAGGATGTAGTCCATGTAGATCGTGTGATCATTCCTGTTCTTGTCAATCTCACCTGTTCCTCTACATATTTCGTAGTGACTTCGGCCACCACACACACGACACAAATGATGAACTACAACGCTAGTCCAGGGTACAGGTATACAGCATGCAGAGTATAACTAGGTGCCAGAAAGCACATATAAACGAGTAATTGATTACATGTATGTACTCGGGCTATCAGTATAGAAATGTGCTTACATTGCATATTGTTGTCTGATGATTTCACTATGTTCATGAAACTCTGACTCAGTGAGTAACAACACCCAAGCGTTGGCCCACTGTTCTTTAATGGCATATAATGCATTCTTCCCGATGACCTGTCGGGTTATGAGGCACAAATTGCACCATAAAAGAAGCATTTCAGAGGCATTCACTGCTTAGCTTAGATGGTGAGAGAGAGAGAGAGAGAGAGAGAGAGAGAGAGAGAGAGAGAGAGAGAGAGAGAGAGAGAGAGAGAGAGAGAGAGAGAGAGAGAGAGAGAGAGAGAGGGAGGGAGGGAGGGAGGGAGGGAGGGTGGGAGGGAGGGAGGGAGGGAGGGAGGGAGGGAGGGAGGGAGGGAGGGAGGGAGGGAGGGAGGGAGAGAGCCCTTTGGCCTAGTTTGGGCAATTCTGAGGACCGATGATTGTTTGCCAGGCTCCTGCAGAACTACTACTACTACTAGTAACCGTGACAAAGACGCGAGTGATAATTTTAGGCAGATGCGGAAGAAGATCTGTATTGTAAGCACCAGTTGCCCCATCGGCAAGAGCAACACCATGTTTGGCCTAACAGCTTACACAGACTGAAAGTAGTACATGTACATGTATGTGCATTCTTTGATCCTCAGAGGCTCAGTGCCTATGATGTACCGTCGTTACTGTAGCAGCTAAACATGGATGGATTGCAGCAATTACATGTATGTAAACCACCTCCTTAGAAGACCACCAGTGGTGCACACTGCACTGTGACGCCAGCCCTAGGTACAATAATAATAATCTTTATCAATGGTTCAATAGCTATTATTATAATGATGTATTTGATGATGATATAGCTATCCGTGCCGTGATGGTGCTGTAGGCCAGGGCCTGCGAGTAGGGTCTATACAACTCCCTGTTGTAGGCCATTCTAGCGCAGTGGGTCTGGTTGTTTAGTATCGATGACGTACAAGTTGGTTCTCTGCGTCATGTGGTATGCCTGGTGTCAAGGAACTGGTCAATACAGCTTGTAACACAGTACTAGTAGAGGTTAGGGCGAGTGGTATGATCGGTGTGTCGTGTTAGCTACTTCACCATTTTGTGTACCCACGCGGTAGTGTGAACTACTAGGTATAATTGCCTGTTTGCCTAAAACCTGAAATCAGTCTCTGTGCTGGGCTGTGCTGGGCTGTTAATGATTCGGTCGTTTCACAGTAGGCTTATTGCTGGGGTAGCCTTGCCCCGCTGTTGTATTGCGTAGTTCTAGGACAACGGTTGCAACATGCATCACCATACCAGAGATTACAAATTCTTGTGAGATGACTTGTATTCTCTTCCCTTGGCTCAGATCGATCTCAAGCCCAGCTATAGCGATTGGGTTTGCTTGGATAGAACTAAGTTGCTTTCAGTCTACATTGTAACTTCACACTAGACAGTGGCAAGTTTGAAGTACTGTACATGTACATGCACGATGTTACGATGAAATTCCAAGGTCAGAATATCGGTACGTGCTGCTAATAGTGCAATCTTCTTCTTGGGCGCAACTCCTTGGTTATTGCTTGTGAATGTACATGTACATGTATGCGTGTTCATCGCATTTGCTCTCTCCGAGGCTCTAGCACGACGATACTGAAGCACATTTTAAACATTGCAACATCGTGTGATACACAAAATTCGTACAGTCATAGTCCTAGCCCTGGGCGAGGGTTAACCTACACATGTCAACAAACAATGGATCACGTACATGTACATGTACATGTATATGATATGATAGCTTCTTTGTGCTAAAACTCCTTTCTTTTTTAAACTTCAGCCCGTATGACTACTAGTACTACAGTATTCACTTCGTCTTGGGGGTTAGACATGGGGAAGTTGCCATACAGGGGCGGTGAGCCCGCCTTTCGGCACCGGGAATACACCATATCGACAAGTTCACCACAATGCTCCTTCCTGGACAGCGTGATACAAACGCGGACGACTAAGATCCCAGGGTGACCATGCGCCAAACGACCTGTCCACTTTTCTAGTAGTTCAAATATTTACAGATAAAAGAACTGATATACGTAGGAACTTCGGTGGTCGTTATTTAGATAGGTTGGTCGCTCAAACGTCGTAGCTCTCCCTTCTTTCCAATTCACTGACACAAGGCTGACTGACGAGTACCATCTGAAGGACAC